TTTTTTTATGATTATACATATCTACATATACATATAAATATATATATATATATATATGTTTTTAGAGAAAGAAATCGTTTTACGAGAGCTGCTCGTAATCAGCCACGTGATCGGCGGCCGCGACAGAGGAATCGCGAAATAAGAACAGAAGGATTTGTAACGCATCATCGACGGATGCTGCAATATATTTTGATTTAGATCGAACGAATAAAGGAACAAGCGTGTATGTAATTTTGTCCAAGAATAATAACGATGTGTTTTAATTGTTGGTGTTTCTCGTCCTGTTTTACTTCACACTTCAGACGTATCGACAGGTCTTGACGAACAGGCGCACACCACTGCTTTCTTCTTTTTGTAACGCCTGACTTTTCATCCTTGAACCGCCCTCTTTGTTACAATTGAGTTTACTAATTTCTTATTTCGTACCACCGTCTTCTTTTCCTTATTTGACTTTTATTTTCTTCTAAGAGAAGCCAGTAATTCTTCTGATCGCTTTCGCCTCGCTCGACGAGTCCATTAACTCGTAGTGGTCGAATTCTAACGAGAACGTCGCATGCCCCGATGAAATTATCCTCACCACCTTCGAGTATCCCAGCAGCTCGACTAACGGCACCAAGCAGTGAATCACCTGTTTTCGTTATTTATTTATGTTTAATGCATCAGTCTCGTTTTACCCATAGAGAGAAAGAGAGCTGAAGAGAGCACGTTACCTTGTTTTGTCTGTAGGCATCGATGTGCTTTATGTCCGCACGTCTTCTCGGCAAGTCTTTCATGATGGCACTCATATAGCTCTCGGGCACCATGATTTCTACACGCATTATAGGTTCCAGTAGACTGATCCCGGTGTTCTTCATCAACTGAAATCCACGCAGCGAACAATATTTAATTATTATTATTAATAATTATTATCAATATTATTCGAAACTATTAACAAGACAGTATTTAATAAAAAATGTTAAATGACAAGAGACAGGATGCTCAGGTCATCCGAAACGTCCAAAACTCTTTGACAAATGGAAAAACATCTATGATCCAGATTTACTTAAAAGTGTTTGCAACGTGTTTCTTGCAGGGTCTGGTTTCTCTAGACATGTGTTTCATAAATTACTTGGAACTACATTCCAATATAGCCACCTGAATATTCGTGTTAAGATCCGAAATTCGTGGAATCTGATAATTGGATCACACAAATGGTTTCACAAGTACGTGTTATCTAGATTGTTCTATCATTGCACCTGCATCTCAGTATTTTTCTAAACGAATGAAACGTTTCTCCTTTGAGTAAAAGCTTAGCCGTTTAATCCGTTGTTTACACTTTCTGTTCTTATCGAATTTAATCCCACATTTTTTTTTTTTTTTCTTCACTCTGTCAGGAAATCCCTGTTCTCTATCGGTCGGTGCGATCATTCTTTTCATTCTTTGAAAAATCTCGAACGATTTGAACACGTAAACTTCGAAAGAGCATGCACAACTTTGATTGTAAATCCGAACGAACGACCATCGTACGTGTTGAAGTGTACGTCGCGAGAAAAACAAACGAACGGAAACATGTAAATCCTAAAGTAACAAAGTCGTATAAGTGCCTCCAGTTTTCGTCAAAATAATCTCGCAGTTTCATGGTTGATGGGTATCTGTCTTTGTTGTATAGTATCAGCGACAAACCCTTGGAGTATTGGAGCAAGCAACAGTCCCAGTCGGGTCGTATTCGTAAAACTTTAGATTCGGACCTGCTAGAGAATGTAGGTTAACTAGTTGTTTCAAAATCGAGCGATAGAAACTTCTAACTCTAATTTTTATGACAAACGGGAGACAGGTTATCGAGATACAGGACTTTGAACAACACCATGGATACGGCACCTCCATCATTTGTCCCTCTGACTCCTTTCAATTTCTCAACGTCGAATTGCCAATCTTAGTGGTGGTCATTAAGAATCTGAATCTAAACTGTCGCTTGCAAGTGCAGGTAATAAAGAATATTCTAGTCTTAATTGTTATTAAGCCTCCAACCAGCCAACGAGCAATCGATCCTTTGCCTCTTTTACCTTGAATATTAACTCCTTGTACTTGGAGAGGTATTACACTATATTATTACATTAACAATATTTGTGTATTTTTGTACTTTTGTAATTAAAAATATAAATATGATATTCTCTAAATAAAAATTCTAAAAAAAAAAAAAAAAAGAAAGAATGCTTAAATCGAATACCGAGTGATCCAATATGATGATACGAGAGTTTGTGCCTAGGTGGCCGACGATCAAAATTACCAGCATCACTTTCAATTCACGAACGCCGAATCAGAGAAGCAGAACTACCGAGGCGCGATCTGTCGCGTGAAGGTAAAGTTCGAGACCGGCTGGAATAAATTGGAGCTGGATCTATCGAGTCTGACGCAGACCGTCTTCAAACAAGTGTACGCCGTCACTCAGAGAATTCAGATTTGCGGCAATTGTCGTCTGCGTAGGATATACTTCATTGACAGGCACTACGAGGACGAAGAGGTCTGCCCAAAGTTATACCACAAGTTCCTCGACTCTTATATGCTCAAGTGGGGCATAAGGACGGTGGAGAGATCCACTCAGACCAGCTCGAGGAGAACGAAGAGCAAAATCAAAGGGAATAGCTTCAGGCTCTCGAAACACTTCAGCGTCGATAACTTAGTCAGCGATGAAACTGGCGGCAAAAGCTCGGACCTGCAGAACCAAAGCGACAAGAATTTTCTCAGCAACTTGCAGACGAAAACGGACCTGTTGATCGACGAATTCTTCGACAGGCAGTCACCGAGGCTTCCGCGTGTCTCGGAATTGAAACAGAACAGCACGTTGAAACCGTACACTTTCCCAACGACATCCTCGAAACAGAAACCATTCGGCATCGGCATATCTGAGGAGGCATTGAAAAAGATCGGTGTTCTCCGGACGTATACAGAGACTTACGTGTGCAACGAGGAGAAATACAAAGAGAATAACTATCTGAAGACTGTACAGGACAAGTGGAAGCACAGGTACTTTTTCCCAGAGGTAGAGTCATCCGTTAACAGCGACTTGTCGAGCCAGGCTGCGAGGAGGACGATGTTGGAACGCAAACCAAAGTCCCTTCTTTTATTGTCTGAATTGAGATCTGCAAAGGAAAGGAGCTTAGAATCGTCGAAGAAGAGCACCGAGGTGATTAAACGTAACGGAAGCGACACGGTCGTCAATTAATCCTGCCAATTATCCTGATGTTAAGTAACAGCGACGGAATTAAAATACTGTTTCTTCGGTTCATCGGCGTGTTTGTTTGGTAACTGCTTGTTAGACCCAAAAATGGCGTCCTAGCGTTCCAGAACTTACAATTAGGCTGTACTTCCTTCTTTACATGTACATAGAAAGAAATAAACGTTGTTAAAATACTTTTACCTGTCGAATACTCTGCGAGACAGCAGCAGTGACCAACGATGGCGTGGTACCAGGCCCATATTGCAAACTATGCAGTTTAATGCCCATGTTTACCACCGGGTAACTTAACTTCGGTCCATGCGAAATAACCGTTCTGACTCCTTTCCTAACGGCCTTCATCATATTTTCTTGCATGGCTCTCGAATCAATGGTCATCGACTTGTCTAATAATAAAATCTCCTTCTCTTGATGATTTGGTATCAAAGATATGGTTACCGTAACTTTCGGGCTAACGTCTCCCATTTTATATTCGTAGGAGAAAGTGTCTTGAATAGGCTCCGTTATGGTTTCCTTGTAGGAGATTTCGAGGGGTCCTAAATCAGCGTCGACCTTGTATTCGGTTTTAATTCTCTCTTTGATAATCTCTAGATGCAATTCACCCATCCCTCCAAGCACTATCTGACCGGTCTCTTCGTTTTGTGTCACCTTCAAGCTTGGATCTTCCCTCTCGAGTTCTTGTAGAGCCTTGTCCAAAACTACCTGCGCAGACAACGACGGTGCTTCTATCGAACAGAAGAAGACTGGCTCCAGCGTTCTAGAATTGCTATCGAATATCCTATCCACGTCTTCCGGCGTAACACCTTTCTCTGCTCTTAGTTTCTTCTTTGCAAGTCTCGTTGCCTTCGAATTCGTCGTTACCAAGTCTCCAGCCGTCGTACCTTTTAATCCTGTTATCGCCGCAATGTTGCCGTCCGTGATCTTTGTTATTTCTTGGTACTCGTTGGCACACGCGAGATACAATTTTCCTACCGGTTCCTTATCCTCTGTCCGAACATTGTACAGCCTCATGCCTCTCTCCACACTGCCATTGTAAATTCGAAAAAATGTAATCGGCCCCTTTTGTTTGTCGTGCACGACTTTAAATGCTCTGGCGCAAAAATTGTTGTCGAAACAACGATAGTGCACAGACGATTTGCTACTGTTCGGTGATGGTAAATACAAGAGAACGCTGTCCATCAGAGGTTGTACTCCGATATTCTTATAAGAACTACCCAGCAGCACAGGAACACCCTTTCTACTTATAGTTGACCTCCTCAAGGAGTCGATTAACATTTGTGGAGTCACAGCATCCAGGGATTCCTGTTCTATGATTGTGTCGGCCAATTCGTCATCCATATTGGACAACTTATCAGCCAAGCTCCTACGTTTTTCATTCGCCATCTCCCACAAGGCTTCGTCCTCGTTCTCGGATAATTTTACCTTGGCAAATTTCATACCCATGTCTTTCTTGTCAAACATCAGCTTTTCCATGGTGATGACATCCACGATTCCTTCCAAGCTCCCCTTTTCTTTAATCGGGAACTGCGTAGGTAACACTTCTGTGTTTAACTTTGACTCGATGGATCTTAAACTACTGTCAAAATTAGCATCCGGCCTGTCCATCTTGTTCACATAAATAATTCTGGGTATGTCATATTTGTCAGCCTGTCTACAAACTGTCAATGTTTGAGCCTCGACGCCTGCGCTTCCATCCAATATAACAACCGCTCCGTCTAATACTCTTAGAGTTTGCTCCACTTCCATGGTGAAGTCGATGTGTCCTGGAGTGTCAATCAAATTGATACGGTAGTTTTTCCATTGAAATGTCACTGCTGCGGAAGTGATGGTTATGCCACGCTGACGTTCCTGGTCCATGTAATCTGTCACTGTATTACCATGATGAACCTCTCCCATATGTTTAATAAGGCCGGAATAGTATAGCATTCTTTCCGTGGTAGTAGTTTTGCCTAAAACGTCACGTAAATTCATCGTAAATTCATTTATGTTGAAATTTTTATAGGTTACCTCTGTCAGGGAAACATTGCAAACGAACCAGCGTCAATGTGTGCCAGAATTCCGATATTTCGAATTCTCGTGATTTCCACTTCCTCGTGTCCTGTTTTCACAATCGTTGAACCTCTCGACGCGCATCTTTTTTGAAACTTTCTGAGCCACGGGTTTTTCATTAACCTAGACGTCAACATGATTTCTAACCTATACGTTTGAAATTGAAGCGCAAAACAAAGCCACGTGGAGAATTATTAAGTCACTGAGACTTGTTTAATTGTTGGAAAAAAGTAAAATATTATAACATTAATTTGTTACGTAACATTAAACGTTTATTGTATTGTTTACAAATGGTACTGTTTACTACTTGTATCTAGCTCTAATAGTTCTTTCATCGTAATAGCTGTTGAACTTTTTCCATTTCCTTTTCTGTAAAGGATGAAGCAGACCACCTTTAGGAGATCTTCTTAGCATTAACCCTGGAACATGAATGTTTCGCTTTATTTGTCCCAAACATTGCGCTTTCTTGCGAATTAATCTACAGACCTGCGTGTTGAGCCATTAATATCAATGAGCTAATCCTTTTCTGTTGCATTTCGCAAAGTCCCGTGACCCTTCGTGGTAATATATTTCCCTCCGATGTGACAAATTGATTTAAGATAAGAACATCCTGAAAAGAAGTTTCTCAGAGGCAGAAGAAATTATAACAGAGAAGGAATTCAAACTCTTACGGTATGTTTAATATCGAGACCAGCAGAACAGATAGAACATGCCCCATTTTTTGATTTCAGGAATCGTCCTTCGTAGGGATCTGGCTTTATTACGGCTTCGAAAATTAAAGTGTTCCCTTCTTTCTTTTGGACAACTACAATGTAAATTATAGGTTAAGAAAGGAAAATTGAACGACAAATGATGATGCGCATTAATTAACGCTAATATAATACAATAATATTTACTTTCTTTAATACGCGTTACTGCAGACAACGATATATTTCTATTCTGTGCCGTCGATATAACATTTTTCCCCAAATAATTTAAAACACGATATAACGCAGCCATTTCAACAGTATTTACAAACTAGCTCTACGTTTATCGTAAAAATGAAAGACACACATGCAAAAATTATGAATTGCTTAACATTATGATAAATTCGTAGTCGTTTTATTGCAAATACATCTACACGAGGTAAATTAATATTTGTTGTTGATTACGAATTGTTGTCTGCTGGAAACGAAATACAAAGGGATCGATCTCTTCGATCTATTTGGAGAAATCTTGAAATCTTTATACAAGCATTTTATAGATCAAATGGCATACGAGAAGAAAGCTGAAAGTCTAATTTCGTAGATGCAATTGCAAAAGCTCGCAAATTGATCCTCTCAGTCAGGTTTCTTTGAAAAAGAAAATTTGCTCGATTTATGGACAGTGAAATGCTAGCGCCACGTAGCGGTGAAACGATGGAACTAAAATATATCGTTGTCCTTGTCACACACTATTGCGTGCCTTGTCTGTTGTACAATATCTGTTCTTGTCGCACACTGTTGCTCTCCTTGTCTTACGAAAGTTTCGCCATCTAAAGTTCTTTTTGCAAATGTTGTACTTTATCTACAGTGCTGTCTCTCATTGTCAATGAAATATTGCACAAAATTCTGTAGTTGATTCGCGATTACGAGATACTCTGTTTCCAGTATTTTATTTATGAATTTCGCGGGAAAAATTTTCAATTTAAATTAACACATTTGTTACACTGAGTTAATAATTTCTGAAACGTGGACCGAGAAGAACGTCGAATCTATTCTATGCTTAGTTCATGCTTCTCGTTCTATAGTTGTCCGTGAGAAATGTCAGACGACGTGGCCGATGAAACATGGAAGCCGTGTCAGATAATGTAGCTTGAAGCTTTTTTTTGCAACGCCATGCCGTATTACGCGAAAGTAACCGGTTCCAAAACGTTCTTTTAATTAACTAGTCTCTTATTCTATAATTTAATAATTTATTTAATGTTATAAACACGTCACTTCCATCATAACCATGGGATTGTGCAAGTGTCCGAAAAGAAGAGTTACAAATCTGTTTTGTTTTGAACACCGTGTCAATGTTTGCGAACATTGCATGGTTACGAATCATCCAAAGGTATTGCATCATTGATCATGAAATTATTTAGAATTGAAAAATATAATTATAAAGAATTATGAGTATATTAGATTAATATCAGAACTATAAAGAAATATAGTTATAAATTATATAAAGAATTATAAAGAACTGAAAAATCATGAACAAGTGAATTTGATATTCTTTTTCTTCTTGTTGACATTAAGAGTAGTCCATTGACAGATGCTCATACTTTTTTTCAGTGTATTGTTCAGTCGTATATACTATGGCTCCATGACCATGATTACAACCCTATTTGTACATTATGCTCAGTAAATCTGAGTGAAGGAGATTGCGTACGATTGACGTGTTATCACATGTATCACTGGGCATGTTTGGACAAATATGCGAGAGAATTACCAGCGACCACAGCACCGGCAGGGTACACATGCCCAACATGCAAGGAACGCATTTTTCCTGACTCGAAGTTAGTTTCTCCTGTGGCCGATGTGTTGAGAGAGAAGCTGGCTGGTGTAAATTGGGCAAGGGCTGGTTTAGGTTTACCATTGGTATGCATTGATGCTTATCTGCATAACACGCGTATGAACGAAATTGTGTATTGAAATTCGTTTATAGCTCAGTGAAGACAGAGAGCAAAAACCAGAGCCGGAGCATCCTTCATTGAGAATTGAGACCACGTCATACCAAAACCACGCATTAACAACGTCATCGCCGTCAACAGCTACATCGCGTACTATTAGTAGTGTAAATTCAGTTCACAGTAATATAAACAATGTGCATTTGAACAATCAAAAGGTTGGACCACCTTACTCAATTGTAAATATCGATTCGTCTATGGGATTGTCGCAGCCAACGTCGAGGAAAGTTTGCGAGGCTTACGACGATCCTAAAGAAATGTCGTTCGATCACGATGAGAATAAATATAGGAGAAAGTCTGCCGTTGAATGGTTCTTGAGGTGGTGGAAGTTGATAGTTAGCCCGCCAACGCGGCGTAGAAACACACCTGGCTCACTGTACAGGAGATACACAGTGCTAGGCATCATGGGAATATTAGCTTTCATCGGAATGTTAATCCTGTTCTCGTGGCTTGGAAAAATGGCCACGGATGGCGATCCAAGTTACGATCTTCGTGCTGATCCCAACATTTTAGTCGACGATAAACCCGCTATTTAATATACTCGGTCTTTCAGAGCGGCATTTGAAAGCAAACTGTGAGAGTATCACGTGAACGAAACCGTATAATATATGTGGAAGTAATAATTGAAGCTTGTAAGATAACGAGATCAGTTTGGATTATATGTCGAAAGAAGATTATGTATGTACTCACACTATCTTATGATTTCATTCTAAAAGAGTAATTAGCTTAAGGTACAGTGTATCGCTAGCCTTAATATTTGTTAACCTTTATGTAAAGTATGCCTTAATATTAAGCTGTATATTTCACTCTGTAAAGACTTATAAATTTGCAACAAGTTTTGTGTAATGATTATACGAACAAGTTTTTTATACTATCTTATGCGACAAATGAAAACAAAGAAAAAAAAAAAGAAAAGAGCGCCGCTAATATGTAATAGGAACAAATCGTGTGTAGTAAAAGATTTTACAATTGTGATAGCAATTTTTAGAAACGCGCTATGTTATTTCGATTTATTTAAAACAACAATTTTATGTCGATTCCAACATTTCCGATTAGGAAACTGGAATTGAATACACATACGTTGAAAAGGAAGAATCTTTTAAGCTGACCTAGTATTTTTTTAGACCTAACATTTTTATCATAGGAGAACATAGAACTGCGGTAGGAACGATTTAGGAAATTCATGGTATTCCATTTATTTATGCATGATGTGACGCGTTTACAATTTAAATGAGAATTTCACGACCGATCCGTTCATGAAATATTAAAACCTCTTAACAGATCAAACTCTGATACACAGAATCAATTTTATATGAAAGGAAAATAGCTTATAGAAAGAAAAAAGAAAAAGCGAGAAACCTTTACTTTTGTAATAAATAGAAATATTATACGATACTTAAACGATTGTCAAATTTTGCGTGTTCCTGTTTAAATTTTAAAAGGATCCAACGTAAACCGTAGCAGAGGAGTGGGGATGTTTTCTTTCTTTTCACGTCTCATAGCAGCCATTTGCAGTCAAGACGAGGACATCATCGTTTCGGCTTACGTGCTTGTTTTTGTTTGAAGTTCTGATACCTGTTGCTTATGAGTAGTGATCAAGTGGTTTCATAGTGAGAACATTCTTATTACCAACAATTTTAATGATAACTTAAAACTGAAATTGATATTCTCAATATTTTGCGTATATCAAAGTTTTGTTTCTTTCTACTGTGTCAAGTAATATCATTCGTAGCATTTATTTTCTAATTTTTTTTTCTCTGATAAAGATTTTATACGTACACATAAAGCGTAGAAAATCTTCCAGTCAACGAGTCGAAGAAGTTTTATCTTTAGAGTAAATTACCAAGACTGATAGAGCGCACTAATTTTAAAATGAAATTAATGAAATGTGTCAAAAGATATTCTACGATATTCGTAGCAGATCTAACGACTTCGGTTGGTCTCTTTTATTTATGGAACAAGGGATATAAACATTTCGTTCCACTCGCGTCTCTATGTGGCATTGGTAAGAACACAATAACAATCTAGCAATCACTCGATTTTTATTAATAGTGTATAAATTTTTTATAAGAAGTAAATGAATAAAAGAGATAGTGATATATACTATATAATGAAACGTATATCAAACGGATCTTTGAATTATAAACACGTGCGTTCATTTTATTATTATCTTTTTATCTACTTACCGGTGGGCTGCGTTTATCAAAATGCGCCATCAGCAAGAATACGCAGCAACGATTCTGTGCGATCATGATATTCTGTTGATACGATGAAAATTCAAATTAAACGCTATTGTAAATTTTTAATAAAGAGTGTAACACTATCTTCGAACTGTCAATTAATACAAGTACACACGTACGCGAACGTGCAGCAGGAAACTTACATTCAATCACTTTGAAATTTCGTATTAACACTGTAATACATCTTGAAATATTTTTCTGTGCTACATGTGTGTCATGTATTATCAACAATCTTTCAGGTGCTTCTTACCTATACTGTCGCCTAAGATCTCGAGCGAAAATATCCTCGAACCATGCGATTGTTATTACTGGCTGCGGCTCGGGATTAGGATACAGTCTGGCTCTGCATTGTCGGGAACTTGGAGCAACTGTAATTGCCGGTGTATTGCAAATGGGTTGTCCTGGGGCTAAGCGACTGGAAAGCGAAGGCGTACTCGTTTACCCTCTGGACATCACGCTGGTTAATAGCGTTGAAAATTTCGCCAACTCCGTTCGAACGATTTTGACGGAAAGGAATTTAAGTAAATCATTTTTCACGATCTCAAGGCTGTGGTTGCGGCGAATTAGCGCATTCCAACGCTAATAAATGGAACATCTGAAAATCGGGATGCACGTATTAGATTCGTATAGATTTTATTAAAGATACTCGTATTATATTCTTAGGCTGTAACCATAGCCTATAATAGAATATAATAGAATATAATATAAGAATATAATATAAAGGTACAATCACATAGATGTAATATTCATCTTTAAATTAGTAAAAAAAAAAAATTTGAATATTATATAATATAATATAAGAATATAATATAAAGATACAATCACATAGATGTAATATTCATCTTTAAATTAGTAAAAAAAAATTTGAATATTATATAATATAATATAAGAATATAATATAAAGATACAATCACATAGATATAATATTCATCTTTAAATTAGTAAAAAAAAAAAAATTTGAATATGAAAGAATGTTAATTATTGTAGAAAAAAAAAACAAGCATATATATTATGACAGAATACCGGTTTCAGCGTTACGATGTTTGATCAATAACGCGGCTGTGATGATCTTCGGTGAATTTGAATGGCAAACGGACGAGCAGCTGAGGAATCAAGTGGAAGTGAACTTGCTGGGTACCATGAGAATTACTAGAGAACTGATGCCGTTGATCCGCGCCCACTTTAGCCGGATTATCGTAGTCTCGAGCCACTGTAACGAGCAGCCGATTCCTGGTGTAGCGGCTTACAGCGGGACCAAGGCTGCTCTCAGCGCTTGGGCCTCTGCCATTAGAGTGGAGTTGAAGAAGTACGGTGTCAAAGTCGTTTGCTTTGTTCCTGGTACGTGATCAAAGCAAAAAAGGCATAAAATTCTATCGAAATTAAAATAGAAAATTATTCTTATAGAAGAGAAAAGAAAAAAGATTTCATACAAAAAAGTATCTTCCTTCAATTTTTCTGTTATTGGTTATTTCTAGAAATTTTAGAAGACTAAGACTTTTACACGTGAACTTATGCGTCTCGTAGGTTCATTCGTTACGGAGAGTAACATATTGGCACGACAAGATGAACACTTCAAGACGATGAAGCAGTCGATGTCCAGCGAAGCGGAAACCTTTTACGACGACTACTTTGCCAGATATTCGCAATATTTCTCATCTGTGGCTCAGGGTGGCAATTTGGAAAAGCTACGGGATTCTGGTATTTACGAAGCCTTCGAAGGTGCTCTCCTGGACAAATATCCATCGGCAGTTTACACGTATGTCTACAAATGACAAACAATTGATTTAAAAATATTTTAATTAATTTCGAAAGTTTAATAATTACGAACAAAGAGAAAAAATTACGTATTGCATAGTAATAATTGCATTATACTTGCGAGTATAACGTTCGGAAATTGGACGGAACTCTGAGTAAAGTAGACGCGAGTAAAAATGTTCGTTGACTGAATTGTTACGAAGTTGTTGCATAAACGATTGTCGCTATCTTGCCAGTTAATTGTGATAAGCATCGCGATAAATATAGTTCTTCCTACTTGAAGTAACACCTGCATTAAAACACCTGTTCAAAGAATAAACCGCGTGATAATCTCAAATCTCACTATGTAACGTTGTAAGTTTTTTCTTTTTTTATCTTTTAACATATTTGTGTAAATGTCGATTTAGGAATGAACCATGGCGATACACGATTTACCACACCATGTTTAGGATCACGCCCACCTGTTTACGCGATCGACTAGTCGAGAAATTCGTACAGGGTCCTCCATGGAAACAGGATGTTGCGAAATCTTCGACACACCAATAATTTCCAACGAGCTGCGAAAGTTTCAGTGTCTCTACGAATAAAAATGAACAGAAGGTCCGCTATTTTAATGTTAAGAAAAAATATGGGAATATGGAATTGTTATGTGTTATACTGAATAAATTGATTTCTTTAATTTGTAATCATTTCCCCCTTTCCCTATTTCTTCTGTAATGGTAAGAAGGAGACTTCGTTGAATTAAAAGTAAAATCTCAGTTTCTAATTAAATTTGTCGCGTGAAGTCCTGTTTCGCCACCCTTTTGCGATGAATGTAACATAAAAGATCAGTGACCGCGAAATACAGAAATGTTTCCTGACATCTACCACGAGACGATTAATTATGATTATCAGCAAAGATTGCGACTTTTCTTAATTGAATGAACGCAAATATTGGTATGATTTTATCTACGAAATGAGCTGAGTTTCGGATTTTTCAGGGCGTCGCGTCAGGTGTGGATCTCAAGTGTTTTCAAATGTCGAAAATATCGATAATCGTTTCTGATGCCTAACTCTCGATTAGATAGTGACCGGTAATAAATACCTATCCACAATCCAGTGATCTTCAGTTGCTTTGAATAGTGAAACGAGCAGCATACACCAAAAATGGCAATCCTCACTTACGGTATGTATGATTATTGCTATTCTAAGTACACTGACATGATGTGTTACTTTCACTTGTTCCTACTGATCACTCATGTACAAATTGAATATTTTAGAAATTTCATTTGCTACTATTTAATCTTAAATAAATTGAACATTTTATAAATTTCGAATATCAATGGTACTGTGAACAGGATGCCATCGATGAAATATCTCTCTTCACAGGCTTTTGCCATTCCATTGACAAATTGTCTCGCTTCACAATTTCGATCTTGCGATGCCACTGATTATGGCAGTCATGACTTTCTTTTATAGACGAAAGGATTTTGGATTTGATTTCAAAGTCGTCTCTATTTTTTTTTGAATTTTTTCGTACATTAATCGATGCTTTCTGTAACAATATTAACTATGTATGTTGAAAAATGATTAGTTTTAACTTTAATTCGGTATAAATGACAAGATGCAGTGGCAGTCTTTTATTTTATGCTCATGAAGATAGCTGTACTGACGCGTTTTAGAAAAAAAAAGTGGGATCTCATATTAGGATATTTCTTCATCAGTGAATTTGCATAATTTTTAATTCAGCACGAAGATACTAACATTTTTTACTTTGTTTTCCGGTGGAAAATGGATTGTAAAAGAAGAAATATCACAGTTTCAAAAGGTGTAAAAAAAGTTTAAGAAAAGTGCTTTAGACAAGAGTTGTGTTGCTTTTAAAAAATGTATCCCACGTTAGTCTACTTTACTCTAACATATTATTCTTCAATTTCAAAGACATATAAGATCACGACTTTTTAACTAATAACTTCATAATTTAACTAAAACAAAGAAAAAATATGTTCACTTGTGATTGCAGTTTATATCTTCGCGGTGCTTTTCATCGCTGATTCGATGCAAGCAACGTACCTGCCCTGTAAGAGTGGTCCAGTCCCCGAAAGCGTGTCAATCCTGGGATGCAGCTCTGTGCCCTGCAATCTGGTGAGAGGGACCAACGTCGAGGGTCGTATTAACTTCAAAGCGGGTAAACATTATACCTGAAATACGGATAAAAAGAAAATTAACAATAAATATATCGAATCTACATGTATACATGTACTAAGTCAAATTGGTCAATTTTAATGATCTGTTACAGTTTCGAGCACAAAGTCCCTGAGACCAGTGGTCGATGTCGAACTTGGAGCCATTCACACGCCATACCCATTACCGGAACAAAATGCCTGCAGGAATCTTGTAAGCGGACAATGCCCACTGCAGAAAGGAGACTCAGCTACCTACCTCCTGAAGATGCCCGTTGAAAAGAGTTATCCAAAAGTCGCTCTGACTATCCAATTATCTTTGGTCGATGAAAACAACAACGCCGAAGTATGCTTCAAGATCCCAGCTAAGGTTGTCGACTAAGTTTAAGGTTACGACTGATAACGAGATGATTCTTTAATTCAATGGTACATATATGTTCCCACGCCCCCTTTTAATTTAAATATAATGTTAAATATACTGTAATAATATCAAATGTTTACTTTTTTTTATCGTTCCCCTTTTGAATTCATGGTGTACGTATGTTTTGGTTTGATCAATCTTTGAACAATTTTGATCAAGTTGATCTTACCATGTAGAAATGTCTATAAACGTTAGTTTAATCATTAAACTAGAACAGAAAGGAAGGAGAGTTACTTACCAAACGAAGGAGCTTTTAACGAGGATCTTAAGTTAATTGCACTTTTACGATGTACTTAAGAATTGATTTTACCTTCGATCCCATTTCCGGAAGTTAGATAAACTAACTAAACAAACTATTTAGATCGGATCTAAAATAATAAAGGGGATTTTTTTGCAGTAGACTAGTGAAGTTTGAAAAAATACTCCATCGTGGATGAAGTAAAATTCCGTAAAATAGAAAATAGATTATTGTTGTGTAAAAATTGCGTTATAAACGTATGTTTACGAGAGAAAGGGGCGAGATGAAAATTCAAAGAGTACGGGCGTGTGCCTGACCCACATCTTTACACAACGATCGACCCGGTCACATAGCTCTAAAAGATATCTAGCAACGTCTTTGAACATACTTCTGATACGAACAATCTGAAAAATCTTTTTCTTTAATTTTTGGACGCGTTGGGACTCGCATTTAAACCAATCTATATTGTTAAAAAATTTAAAGTTTCAAATTCTTGATATTAATTTGCTTTGTTGAAGACTTTTAATAAACGAAGCAACGATTTACGTGTATCATATATGATTCCGTGATTAAGTGAATCATGAGCGAAAATTGCGAGAAAGAATTTCCTGGTATAATGGAACCTTGTGTACGTGCCCAGTCTGATGGAAATTTATTGAACATTCACAATATACCGGATAATTTCGTTGGAAATTTCGCTCCGCGGGTTACCAATTATTTCCATCCTTTACTTTGCTCGTGATTCATGGCTGTTGCATATTATTACGTGCGAAATAAAAAATATTCGATAAATATTAAGCCAAGAAAGACGATCAAAATTTAGATATTGTACATATCTAATTTGTATAAAAATTCTATATATCTTTATTCAAGTCTTCCAAATGAAAGATGAACAACACACGTACAAATATTCATTCTTAAACGTTTCAATAATTGTTCAATAAGTTCCAAGATTATCTTCAATTTTCAATTCCTTGTATTTTTTCTCTCTCCTTATCTCTTTCCTCTGTGTTTTCTATTATACATAGCAATACAATGTATGTACGTACAAATATTAATTCTTAAGAGTTTTAACATTTATCAAACATTATCTATAATTTTCTCAATGTTCCTGTATCTCTGAAGATGTAGTTTTTCTCACCTTATCTCTTTTCTCATCTCTTCTCCTGTGTCTTCTGTTATATGACACGCGTGTGCAATACCGATTCCAGCGAAGGTCTGTCAATAATGATTCAGCTGGGCGTGCCCCGCATATGAGAATCGGCCCGAAAATAAACAGGTCGCGCGCAACATCGCACACAGATGCTTTTAAACCGCGTACTCTGTATGCACGTGTAATCTCATAAAAGGCGCGAGCGAGATAATGCGATCACCAAGTTCAGCAAATACTGTAAAGAAGAAGACAGATCAGTAAATTCTGTTGCAATGTCAAAGAACGAAGGAGGGAAGTACTAGGTGCGATAGGGAAATAAGAATGCTTCTCTTTTGCTCAACTTAGCAATTCCTTCCTCAATTCAACATTAGAATTTCTAAAATAATTAACAGATTTCTCAGACACAATAATTGAAACATACAATGATTCACGGAAGTATTCAAACGTTTGTACAGCGATGAACAAAACTGAACGTACATATGGATTTTTCATATTAATATTATTTTATCGTTTTTCAAAAAAAATTTTATGACCTTTATCACCGCTATTCTGGTAAATATAAATTGCTTCTCGTGGAGCCAATTTTGCACCACCTGAAATTGTCAATATTTTAAATTGTTGTTAAGTTAACTTAAAGGAGATTATATAACAATCTACTTATAATTAGTCTCATTTTAAAATGTAAAATTTCTGTTTTCCTACCTTGAATTCGTTCTTTTTTCTTCAAGATATTTTTCCATGTAGCAATGGAAAAATATTTAAAGAAAAATTATAAAACTTCACACGTATGTGAAAACATTGAAACATTTTATTGACTAAATCCATCACGGTCTTGAAGATTAAAGTTTCCCATTTGTAACAATTCAAAACTTGCTATGCCATTTTTTTTCATCATTTTATTGAACATTGAAGTTAAATAATAAAAATTCAAAAAATCCCAATAGTTCGTCTAACTTTAATTTTCAAAGTTAAATAAAATTTAACAAAAAAGAAAGTCGTACAAGTTACAAAAAAAATTTGTTAATGTTTTTACATGTTTGAGAATAAAAAAACTTTACTCACCTGCTACGTAATTTAAAAATATCTTTGGGTTTAAAACAGTTTAAAAGTATCGACAATTTTTCATCGTTATATGTTTAGTTATGCTCTTCTGTATTTTGAAATTCAGCCAAAACTCGCATGAGTACATTTCACTTGAAGCATTGTATAACACTGATGCGATATTCCATTTGTGACATTCACCTACGTGAGTACAAAACGAATGTTCAATCATTGCTGAATCATAGAAAACACTTTAATATTGTGAAGTATCTAATTCGATTCCACTTCTCCATGAATCTCTTTCCTTAAACACTCCTTGTTGTTAACCCCTCAAGACGACATTCCACTTTGCAATACTCTCTCATAACGATCGAGTATCCGTTACACCAATCGATAGAATCATTCGATAATCGTAGTGCGTGAACACAGGTGATTGCGCCGTGGAATGGCGCGCTTTCGTGCCAGTTCAAATTCGCAAACGACGCGTGACGTTCGACCGCGCTTAACCAACCGGGATCAGCGAGGGCAAAAGCGTGCAGGAAGGTTAATTCGCTCTGAATTAAAACGAATTCTCCCTTCGCCCTGGTGGATTGCTCGCCGAGAGAAAGAAAGAGAGCGGGACGCAACGATTCTCTCCAGCTGATACCTAACCTCAACTTCTTGTGTATGAATTCATCCGTTACGTCATACCACCGGAGCGTAGAACTGTGAATACTGTTTGGAAAGATGAAATTGTTAATTGCTCTTTTCTCTTTCGATGAGCGTTAACGATTCAATTCAAGAGAGAGAGAACGGTATACGATAAAATTTCATTATACGGTTGTACGAATTATGTATTGTACATGATTTACAGTCGTTCGTGAAAACATTGATTGCAGATGTAAAAAAAGACAAACACAATGCTGTGAAGTGAGTTTCAATTGAGCTCCGGTATTAGTGAAACACGAAAATTGAGTGTTTCGTAAACATTCGACCGGTTTCGTCCGATCATCGTGTACGGTATGTCGCGTGTGTTGCGAGGAGAGAGAGACGAGGAGAGATCGTCCAGAACGAAAGAGAGGACGAGATTGTCGTTGCTCGCGTGAACGTGGTGGAACGAGAGAGTACGATAAATACAGCGTGGTAAGGAAGGGAAAGAGTCGCCGTATTATAATTATAGAGCGAGAGCGAGTGAAAGGAGGTGCTCGTATCGGCCGTTGTTGAAAGTGGAGGGGCACGCTACGACTCTGATCAGCCGGGGTGCCTTCGTGCCGCTTGTAAACTCGTGCTCCTCGTAGTATGTAGTACGTGTAGTACGAAAAGAAGCTTCGTGCCTGTGACGTCAGTTCAGTATTTTGGTACGGCCGCGTGAAACGTCGTTACGAAACTCGTGGGCGCTCGCGATTTGTTCCGGTGAAGACGGAAGTGAAGAGACGTGTTCGAGACGAGGCGCGAGCCGTGACTCGCTATCAAGATTGAATCAAGATCAGTGTCGTGCACAGCCGCAGGATTCGTTCGGTCATCGTCCAAGTGTAGCGGCGTGCAGCAGGTAGTCGGAACGTCGACCGACACACATTGTTGTCAAGATGGCGTCGAAAGGAAAGTTAGCGACCGAGGTCAGTAATATATTTTTTTTCTCATCTCGAACTCGCAGGTCTTCATTCGACCGGTTCGATCGCGGTGCAAGCGTTGGACACTCGAGCAGGAAATGATCGGGTCCAGCGTTTACCGCGTGATCCTTTTGTTTGATCGATTAGTTCATCGAACTTGCGATCGTCGTCGATTGTATTCGCGCGCTTTAACGAACAGGTCACGCGCCGCGTTCGCGAGAACGTCACACTGTCCGGTAAACCACGCCCTTGAATAGTCATTTTCGTGGAATGTTCTTCATTCATTCTCTCCATTGATACGTTTTACGACACGTTGTATCGTCAATATATATATTATCTTTTTCCGCGTAAAACTTGAGTCTGAAAGGATTAGCATTCGGTAAGAATGCATAGCGAAAATATTCATATTTTTATTAAATGCTATATGCACGATGTGCACAATACGTAAAAATTGTTTGAAAAATATTAATTCAATGAGTAACTCGTTAAGTAAGACAACATCGCAAGTATTTAACTGCATATGTGCAAAGTATAATTTATCGTTTACGGCAACAGAAATACGATCTAATCGCGAGATCAAGCAGTTTACGGATTGATTTCTGTCTTCTCTTTCTTCTTGTCTTGAGACACGATGTACACGTGCCTTTGAGTATATAATATCTATTTGTTATTTTCTCGCTGAGGCTATCCTGTTGGCATACATCAAGTGTGTGTATAAACAATATCGTGCCAAGTATTTTCTATCGTATTAAATTTCTTGCCATGCGATATCGCACGCTCTCTCTCTCTCTGTGTGTTTCTCATAATCGATGGAATATTTTCTTAAAATCGATGAAATAAAAACAGGCAATATCGATTAATGGGTTAGTATTAAAATTGATAGGGCAATGTTTTTGTTTACACAGCCGTATCTTCTATTTACGTAATCATATTTTGATGTCGGACACGTTTGATTACGTTCCATTTGTCGTAAATATTTAGAAAGTTAGAGTACATCTCCTCTTTCGAAAATTGTGTGGAACCAGGACAATTTGGTCTGATGTTATCAGACATCGCAATACTATGTTTTTCTATCACAGATATTTGAATTTATTATTCAACGATGAAGGGACAGATTACAGTTTTGAAAGTAATTGAAAAATTAGGTTTTGTCGTGTGTTTTTTTTTTTTTTTTAGTTGAGACATTTATAAAAACTAATCTCGTTTAATTGACCTAGTAGTCTGACGTTGACTTATGCTCGGTCACACTTTAGATTTCTCGGTATCACGATGTATATTTCCTGACAGTGGCAAATTCGTTTGATATCGTTTAAAATTATGTGTCGCTTATGTTGATAAGTTTTATCATGTAGGTATATGTCAAGGTCCGGATATTGGTAGCCATCCCACCGGAAAATACGAAGTAACAGGCAATAAAATCCCCTAGAAAATGCACAGCCTACTTTCTAATCCCTTTCTATTAAAAGTATGTGGCCGACGACCGTAAATTAAAAATATCCCGCACCTTCGATTCGCAAAGTCAAAGTGGAATTTTCATTAATTGCGACGAACATGAGCAGCGATTTGTTTCCTCTTTGGCAAGTTGCCATTTCGCGGGACGTGAAAAGCAGCTTCATTTTTATTATGTAGCACGATGTTCGACCTCGATTTTGGGGATCTGTATTACAAAAATCGTCGGTACAGAGAAACCTCTAATACGAAAAGTGGTTTCTCAGATTAGAACCGCGCAAGTTGCTCTGCCCGCGATCTCGATGCAAAATCGACGATGCAGAATCCGATTAAGATTATTTCGCTGATTAAAAGGTACGTCGATTATTATGGATGCTTTTGTTAAGGGTCGTTGATCTCGTTCGTCATCGTGTCTACCGACCAGATCGCGTGGCAACGTGGTTCCTATTTTTTTTATCCATTCGTTTCGTAGTTACTTGTATTCGTGAAACTTAGGTTATATTTCACGTTACGATAAAAACGCTATCGAACGTTCTCCACGAGTGTCAAATACTCGTGATTTAATTTCGTCATATTATATCACGATATTTCGTGTTATCAATAGTAACGAAGGAAAGTTGCTCAAGTTCCGTGACACATGCCGAGTATTCGAACGTACAAACGATTGTTAATTAAATATCGCGTTGTTAGAGTGACGAAAAGTAGTACAACGATTGTGATACAGCCCTGAGGCTGTGACAAGCGTTTAACGAAATGGCCGCGAGATGGCAGAAGATGGCCATCGGGAGGGCAATGCGGTAACTCGCGACACGCACGTCAGTCTGGCGTTTCTCTCTCCTTTTTCTCTTGTTCCTCGGATGCCCCCGTCTTTGTCGTTCTCGTCTCACCTTCGACGCTAATTTGAACGATACGGTTCGCGCTTATTATCGCTAAATTAGCCATTATGTCGTTATTTTAACGAGTCGATGTGTGTCAGGGGGCCGTGCACACGCTTCCAGTGTGTCCACTGTATTTCCTCGTTCAATTTCTCTTCTGCTTGTTCAACATTGTGCTGTGCCACGACCAGACCTGCCTTTGAAAGCTGCCGTGTCTTTGTTCATATTTATGTCGCTTTATAATTTCACTCACGCGTTACCGTTCTTATTTTACTGGCATTTGTCAAGTCGACAATTATTTTTCTCGGCCGGGACTACGATTGATGCTTGTTTCTAGGTTATTACGGCCATAGGTTTAGTTCGATCAATGATCAGATGTCGCTGACGTCATTACACAAAGTTCCTCGATGAACATTTGTTTGTTATATTTCCATCCTAACTTCAATAAGTATCGCGTACACGTCAGAAAAGTCTATTTTCGATTTGTCGCAATCTTGAGAAACTAGATCGGTATAGATATCAAACTAGATATCACGGATTGTTTCTAAATGAAGCTCGAGTTTTTCCTCTAACGGTGTTACAGATTTTACTAAATTTTCTGTCAACATTAAACTCGTGAGTTTCGTCGAGTTCAGAATCTTTCAGATACGTAATTCCTGCCTTAATAAAATTAAAAATACTTAATTTAATTATAAATAAAATAATTACGCACAATATTTAATAATTATTGTAATTGCCGATTATCTTTTTCGAGAATATTTATATACTCTGTATTAGGAATTCTATCTTTTGGCGCGCTTGTGACAATTTGTCCAAGGACGTATTTACACAAAGGAGATACTTTCATTGTATAATTTCATTGTACGCCACGTCATCATTATACAATTTCACATTGCATTAACGTCCGTTAAAACGTTTCTTTCATAATCCAACCAGGAATTCTACTAATGCGTTCCAATTATTACCAGTTCAACGACGTGCCAATCGATCCTTAAGCCCCATCCGCACAGTGGCGATTCTAACCGATTCTCTTTGCCTCCAGCGATGCTAATCCCTTGTGTCAGGACGATTTCACAATTGAAAGCAATGCACGTACTCTAATCTGGAAATTAAAATTCACTTCAGACGAGTCTCTAATGGCCGATCAAAACCATCTTAACCTCTTGCGCTGGGAATGACGTGCCATGCACGTGGAGAATCTTTTATCCCAAGATTGCAATATTTTCTCAGTTTTAAGTATATTTAAGTATAATCCAGGCAAAACAAATAATAAATTTATCGCTTCTCAGTAATTTCTATCCAGTGATAAACTATAAGTGATGAATTAAAAGAAAAAAAGCGAAATTATTGTGTACGGTTTGGTCACTCGTTATGGTCCGCAGTCGAGTTGCCAGCACAAGTTAAAAGACGAAATCCAACGCGAATGTTACGTGTAACGTTGGACAAAAGTGGTAACGTCGTTGTCTCCGTGGAAGGTTCGCTAGGTGCCACGCCTTCTAGATTTACGTTTACGAGCTCGGTGCATATCCGTTTTCGCAAGGGAACCAGGGGACGTGTCAGTTTCGAGAGCAAGCCGCCGGATTGCGAATCGGTTTTTGTGAATCCATCGTTGGTGAATCCTCGCGAGGATATCCGATTCGAGGTCAGACCCGTGACAGTGAAGCAGCCAAATTCGTCTCGCGAGATCTGGCTCGATCCAGCTGTTTTAATGGTGAACTTCCGCGACGACGACGACGACGACGACGACGTGAAACACCGGACTGGAGGGGTCAGCCCACGCAGCTCCAGGGACTGTAATTCCTGGGAAGGAAACCGCCCTGTATATTGGCCCTTTTAAACCTTCTTTACCAACTAATTCGTGGTCGCATCCGCGCGCGCGCGCGTGTGTGTGCACGTTGCGTCGCGTTGCTGTCTCTTGATTATTTAAATGCCAGCCAACGCTCTGTTTTTTTTCCTCTCACGCTGACAATGAAGCTCCCTTCATCGCGTTTACGATGGTCCGTCAATTTGACGCTTGTTGCTCGTAAAATGGCACCTGATTGAGAGAGAACAGCAGAGTCGATATTTCATGTCTTACTGTTGCTTGGTTATGAATTGATCATTGGTCCCTTGAGCTATTTGATTACTTGTACATGAAACACATAATATTTATATATGTGTACGTAATATTGGTTAAAAAAAAAAATTACATTTTTCTTTTAATCGGAACTTATCTCAGGAGTAGTGTTTCGCGCAAACGCAATTAAATGTTGGCCCTTGCCACGCACGTCGAGGATATTTGGCCCAAAATTGCAATATTTACCCAGTTTCAAGTAAATTGAAGTATAATCCAGGCAAAACAAATAATTAATTTATTACTTAGCAATTTCTATCCAATGATATACCGACGAAATCAAAAAGAAGACGAATTATTGTATACGGTTTGGTCACTCGTTATGGTCCGCAATTAGTTGCCCAGGAATGACGTGCCACGCACGTCGAGAATATTTCGCTCAAAATTGCAATATTTACTCAGTTTCAAGTACATTAAAGTATACTCCAGGCAAAACAAATAATTAATTTATTATTTCTTAGGAATTTCTGTCCAATGATATACCGACGAATTCAAAAAGAAGACGAATTATTGTTTGGTCACTCGTTATGGTCCGCGCAGCCAGTTACTAGCGCAAGATGTTAAATTCGCCTCGTTCACGGCGAGATGAATTTCGAAGCGAAAATTTAGTTAATTTGATATTCACCGGGGGACTCTTCCCGTGTCTCGGGTTACATGTTCCTTCAAATCCCCCCTAATAGCACGGTTTCTCAATTGCCCGCGGTCGGCGTAAAACGGTTGATAATCGAGGCAGTCATAAAGCAGATAAAAATTTTATACACCGCGCACGTATATATCTCGACTCGTCTAATTGTAATGGCACGATAACTTCGCGATAAGATAACCGGTGCGAAGTATGAACGTTGCTTATTAGAGTTACGCGGAAACGCGACTTCAGGAAGTTTCAGAACGATGCATTTTGTTTTCACC